TGTGGGAGGGGTGGGTGAGAGAAGGGGGGTGTCTTTATAACGTGTATGATTTTCCATTTCTTTATCCCAGTCCACCAGAAGCTACATACATTTTCCTTCAGTTGAGCGTCTAGATCAGTACCACAAGCAATATGAATAATATGTTTGACTGTGTATATAACACTTGAACAGCATTTCTATGATTTCCCCCAGTCTCCGGTCCTGCTCTCTGACGCCTACAGATACATGTGTTATAACCTGGTAATGCAAAGTAAACCAGACTGCTGTGCCGGCCTGAGCCTCTCTGGAATATCCTGCATTTGCCAGCAGAGTCATATGAATATGCATGGGCACGACACGCTGTAGATGAAATACGTTTAAACTTTTGCATTTGGCACGTTTATGAACATCTCTGGATCGTAAAACGGAGCCTGCATTTGGCAAAATGGTCAGCGACTGATCCAGGTTTTATTATTGTTATTATTTACACACGGTACTGACTTATTTTATCTCTTGTTAAGATTCATGTAAAGGACTATTTGGATCTATGTCTTCATTTTACCTCACGGTTGTAGTACTATCAAAGTGTAAATATAGCTCCATTTGCATTTATTGACCTGATCTGGGCGCGCACTTGAGTCGAACCAAAATTTGCTGTGTGGAAACACATTTTATGGCCGGGGCTTTTAAGAATAGTTTGGGAGACCAATAAATAAATAATTAAATAAGTATTTAAGTTGAAAGAATAAATCCCTTAGAACAGTTGAAATTAACAAGGTCGACCCATCCTCTCACCATCATGTTCCGAAAGGGAAACAAGATTCCCCCAGGGACGGGGATTACTGACGGGTGGGGGTGGGGGGGGGGCAGGGGGTACACGACCCCCAGATATTATTAAAATGTATTTTTATTTTGGGATATCTGAAAAATATTAGTTGTTTCCTTCTTCCACTCCACCGGAAGTCTTTTTCTTGTTCTTGACGGCAGTACCGCAGACAGCGTGTGGACACTAACAAGCCATGTGAGCGTTCTCTCAAACCCCCCCCCCCCCCAACATTACAGGGACAAGACACCTAGGAACTGGACAGTGTGGCAGACGACACTGCTGACTGGCTGATAGCAGACCTAACATACCTGTTAGCTGAAACCTGAGCGTTCTCTCATTTCCTTTATTTCAGAGACCAGACGCGAAAACCCGGGCAATGTGGCAGACTATATATAATGAATTGTAAACTTGGGATTAACACAAGCTTCAAAATCAATGGTTTACTTTTTTTCTACCTTTGAAGCAATACACCTACATGCTTCTGTCACATGTCACTTGTCTGATAAAAGTAAATTATTGAACCTCCATTGTTGTGAAGATTTATAATTAATATATACTGTTGTCCTCTTTCATTCTAGTGGATAAAGCAGCGTCAGCAGTTTATAGGAAAACGACAAGAGGGTTTGCTGCTTTGAACATAGCGCATTCCGCGTGGCTCTCCACCTAAAGTTGACTCACAACGCAACTCGTGCTAAGAGGAAGACGACACAACGAGGACCAGAAGACACACGTTGAATGCAACGACACAACCATCCCTCAGGACGCACGCGCTCTGGCAGACCTAGCGCCGCCATGAGGTTTAAAGAACGATTTATACAGTGGGAACAAAACAGTCGACTCCGCGGGCGATGGGTGTTCTTAATTTTCGTCCTCTCCGGGATGCTTCTCGTCGGAGTTCCGTTTCTATTGATGATACTTGGAGGACGTGTAGGGCCAGCCGGACAAAGATTTGGATTTCTAGGAATTCTAATAGGCCCCGCAGTTTTTATATTTTCTTGGACGATGTATTGTGTATGTTCTCTGGGGAGAGAGTGCTCCCAAAACGTTACTTTGGATGATGAGAAGGAGGTAAAAGTTAAACATGAGAATAGCAGTTCGGGTGGAGGTTATTTCACAGACTATGCTAAGTACAGGGCGGCTAAACTGAAAAGTGACAGTACGCCTGCGCACAGTACGTCGGCGGGGGCGCCAACGATAACGACGCTAGTTTTTGAGGAGAGCGAAGCGCGCTCAACGTCGGAACCGTCGAGTCCCTTTTTAGATAGGGACAGCGTCTCAATAGCTGAGTCAAACGTGACCTGTCTCGAAATCAGAGACAGCTTAGCCAAAAAATATTACTACAGAGTGTTTGATGAAGATTTAGACGAGTATGCCTCTTTCGAACCTGTTAAAATACACAACTCTGGGCAGATTAGGCACTCGGCAAGTTTGGACAGAGAAAAAGTCAACAAAGCTCCGATTGTTTTACCGAACAATTTACACGCGTCGGTGAAAACAAAGGATAACGTTAAAGGCCAATCAGGCGGCTTATACAAGGATAATACAAAGGAAACGTTCCATATGCTCTCCACAGAATGGCTGGCTCATATCGCCAAATAGTGTTCTGGGGCTGAGGAATAATTCATCTTAGGTGCTTTTTGACGGTGTTAATGCTGACAAAATTTTAAAGATTTTCATTTCTATAGCTGTACTTAGATGGTCAGAAAATTTGTTAAATGACATGTTAGCTTAGAGGTATTAGACAATAAGAGGTTTTGATGTAGTCTAGGATCCAAAATAAGAATCCTTGACGTAATATTGGTACTTCTTTACACAACTATGTGTTCTCCAAATAATTAAACCGTCAACTGTTATTGCAGCGTGGTGAGTTATGTCTTCACTTGATTAAAAACCGTTCCATTCTCGGTTTGATAATTTTCACAGCCGTATGGAGACAGTTAGGACAAGGGCCATTTAAACCGAAGCTCAGATTGACTTGCGTCAACAAACGACCGATCTAAAGAAAGCCTTGTCTGAATTAGCTTTTGCAAATGGACGCGTTCTATGTTGATGTGTGCTAAAGTCGTACACCCTCGCATAAAAACAAAAATAATTGAATAAAATAAAATAAAGTGAGGGAGCCAACTAGTTAAAGAAATGCAATTAACGGTGGGGGTACGTAGAATAACAGCAAAATTATTTACTTGAGCTTGAATATCTGTTGTCTAGGGTCTTGGCAAAGCGACGAAATACTAAAATGGCCAACGTATGTGTACAGGATTCCGTAGATCGCTTTTCACTATGCTTAAGACCGATGTGACGTGACATGGCCAAATGCCCTGACCCCCCCCCCCCCCGTACCCCCCCTTCTCGGTTCCAGTGGGGTTCAGAAAACACAATGCGGTACATCTCAGCAGACGTAGTTTTTGCGATTAGCTCATCTCGAGACTCACCTTACATAATATGGCGATAGAAGGGACCACTTGGGATTAGGTCTGCTGTCCAACGGGGGCGTGGCCATCAAACTAACTGTACTGACCACTGACTGTTTACACCTAGACTAGCGGTCAGTGAAGGTCACTTTACTCCAATCAGTTCACCCCTCTCCCTAGCAGAGCGCACATAAAACTTGCCAGGTGTAACAAGACTACCAAGAATGGTAGTCTTAGGAATGGAAGTTCGGGGTTACTCATGCTTAGTACATGTTAGGGTTAGTCGGAGTATTAGGGTTGGTATATGGGACGGATGTCACCTGTACAAAGTAAATAGGAACGGACGACGGTTTCTAGCCGACTTCCATTCCTGTTACACCGGCACGAGGGTCGTTGTTTTTGTTAACTAGGGGCATTTACAGTGATACTATCGTAGGTAGTTCGCAGAGACTCTAGTTGATTGCAATTATAAGATTAAAAGTTCAACAAGCTTTTCCTGGCGTTGAAATCTGAAATGTTCATTCTGATCTTGACCACACTCTCGAATAAGTCCCAAAATTCTCGTGTGATTTTACGGCATTTTGCGATACTTCGGATAGTACTGGGTGAATGCATTGTTTCATTTAAATACTTGGAATTTTGGCAATTTTTTCGGGAACCTTCAACAATGTCCTCGAATCACCAACTGGTGAACAGCTAATTTTCACCTCGCGTCCCTGAAGGCGACAAAAAACAAACATTTATTATTAAATGGAAACATCACCACCATACAGTAAATGGACAGATTTCTGTGAAAGATCGATAAACGCAATCATAACGATAACAGGTCAATTAAACAAGTGTAAATGAAAGGTCAATTAAGTGCATATTGACAACATAGTAGACATTAGGTAACTGAAGTGCAAGTGACCGAAGATTTATATGTGTTTTGGGGTTTTAAAAAGTCATTAATCATGTCAAATTGTTCTCTGTCCGCCGCCGCCAGCTGTACATGCCAGAGGAGGTGTGAAGCCACGTTTACACTGGGGTTATGGAGTAATGGGACGATCCAAGCCCGGATGATTTTCATTCACGCTGTGGAGATGACTCTTGGCAGGGCAAGATCAGCAACGGGGACGGGAGGGGCGGAGTCTGGGTGGAGAGTTTTGACTGTCGAGGACCTAAGAGAAATTCAGTGAATATTTTTTTCTTTTTTGTTTTCAATCTGATACAGTGACCATGTACCTATACTGCAAATTTCGCTTACGTTTCCAAGAATCCGTGTTGTCTTTTGTTAAAAAAATGAAAGATGCTATCACTTGTTTTCCTCTTCTGAACATCTTGTCCTCAAAATTGGATTCTACTCATCCGGGGCATTTCTGAGAACCACATTAAGACATCTGAATGCATACACGATATTCATCACGATTTTATAGTCTGCCAGCGATTTACAGTTTTAACTATATAAGCTTGACCAGTGAATGAGTTATGGTTTTTCTATTGGATAACAACTCTCTCTCTCTCTCTCTCTCTCTCTCTCTCTCTCTCACACACACACACACACACACACACACACACACGAATGCTTTAGAGTCTTGTGTCCAAATCATTTGTTATTGTGGTAGAGAAGACACTTGACTGCTTGACAACATAAATCGATAGTTTTGTCAAAAAATGTTCCTCCACCTTACCTCTACCATCCAAAACTTAAGATAAGCAATGGAGGGGGGGGGGGGTATAAAAAACTACGCACCTGAAATTGACTTATTTCAGTACATATGTTGAAAATGAAGTAAATAAATTGCATTGATATAGTTTTTAAGAAGGGAGCAGTCAACTTAACAGAGTCAATATTTTAAGTGTCTCAAACATTTAAAGCACCGAAACTCTCAAACGGGAGGTCTGCAAAGACAATGTCAAAGACTACGTATATTTATCAATTGATCAACTATATTATTGGCTTTCAGTTTTACCAGGGTTTCTGTTAATATCATCAAAATATTGATTTTACATGTTTTAAAATCCCTGTGCTTTCTAGAATTTATAACTGAACATTCAAACTTAAATAACAAAATAACACAACAACAACATCAACAAAAACAACAACAACAACAATGATAATTATAAAAATAATACACGCTGCTATTTCATTACAAAAGAGGACCAGGGTTATGTCCGGTGAATCTGAATAAGATGTCACGTGTGTAAATACTCAGGCCTTATAAACGAATTAGGCGTTTACCAACAGTACCCGCAGTTCTTTTAGCACTAACAACCATTTTAACCACATAAGCCACAAAATTACCAGCACTACCAGAGCGGATGAATTGTTAGTGCTAGGTATCACTTTGCTGGTGCTAAATAATTGCGCGGTGTGTTGGTTAATTCATGGGTTTTGAGATTAATATGGGCGTTAGTGCTAAAAGATCTGCGGGTACTGTTAATACAGTGGCGACTTTAGAGGAGAAGGGGGTCAGGGGGGGTACTGTTCCCCCTTCGACTTCTGAAAAATATATAATAGAATATTGACTAGCTTAATCATACTTCTAAACCGTACCAAAAGGCACTGTTTGCTCTCTAAAACACACACACACACAAACACAAACACACAAAATTCGGGGCCCTTGAGCAGGCCCCAAACCCCACACCAAGGGGGCGACGGTCGTTCCGGACCCCCTTCAAATGATCCTGGATCCGCCTCTGTTAGTAAACGCCTAATCCGTTTATAATTATAAGGTCTGACACTGGCCTCCACCAACGTCAGGTACAGTTGGATTTTTCACTAGATATTCACACCTATGTGTTGTCTTCAATTAATTCTATACAGTTTGCTGTCTAGCGAGAGTTAATGTATGGTATTGTTATAACCTGGCTGGTCTCTGATATAAGAAATGGAAATATACATGTATATGCATGCTCTCAAGACTGTAGTTGGGTTGAGACAGACGATGTTCTTTCGCGTTTGGTTGTTAAATCATTCCTTGAACTTTCGTGTGAAATTTTGCCATCTCTTTATGCTAGTGACGTTAAAAAAGCACATAAGCATAGCACATAAAGGCGTCCAGTAGTGACCTTGTTTCGTGTACAGGTAGGATACATGCATTAGGGCTTACAGCGGCATATCCCTACCGCCGTTATAGCTCTTACTATTATAAATACTGGAGAAGGTGCTGTAACTGTGGAATCCAAAATGACTGACGTCGTACAGAGTTTCTCTGAGTTTTTTGCAAACCTTGGTTTGCCGACAGTTTTGATATTCGTGGTAGTGTTGCTGTTAAGTCTGTGGATGCTGTCGTTGAGGAATCCTCGGGTGAACTGGCCGCCCGGACCTCTGTGTTTCCCCGTGGTGGGATGTCTCCCTCAGCTGATGATCAGCGGTAGAAGACGACAACCGACAGATCTTCTTCCATGGTACGATACATACGGAGATATTATGCACATCCAACTTGGTGAACAACACATGATAATGCTGGGGTCTTATGAGCTGATAGAAGAGGCTTTCGTGAGGAATGCAGCTACAGTCAGTGATAGGCCTACCTGGATATATCCTATAAGACGATTGGTCGGAAAAGACGGTAAATAAAGTGACTTAAACTTTTTAGCTTTCAAGTAGACAAGGATACTATTAGTATAATATATAGTGCACGGAAGGCAAACAACTTGATATTGTTTGGTTTTGATCATTATACTTTTAATGGATGGAGAAGGGCGTATACCCCCCCCCAAATCTACCAAACAAATCCAACATTGGCTCATGCGCTCACATTTATTTAGGAACACACTTAAACTTAAGTGTGCAGTGTGAAGTCCGCACCGCTTGACCAGATGTCTTTTATGTAGATAGCCTATAGGCCATGTCAACTGGGGTTTACAGATAGCAACTGAAGCGTGCACAATTTAGTAGTTCAGCATTTCGACACCTGTGCATGAATGTGTGCGTGTAATTGTGTGTGCACCCGCACGCGTGTGTGTTTGATTGTGTTTGTGTTTATCTCCGTCTCCACTTTCGTGTCTGCTTTTGTTATTTTAATATAAAATAATAAAATAGATGGTATTTGGGAAATTGGGTCATAAAATATTTTAATTATATCTAAACTGCAGGTGCTGGAGTTATCCTGAAAAATGGACACGCATGGAAGGAGCTGAGGAGATTCACACTCTCGTCTCTTCGAGATTTCGGCCTTGGGAGAAAAAGTTTACAAGAAAAAATTCAAGATGAGGCCAGATACTTGGTGCAAAATATTGAAGATGAAAATGGAAAGGCTTTCTCTCCAAGGGTTAGGGTTGCAAAAGCTGTCAGCAACATTATTTCTTTTGTAGTGTTTGGAGTTAGGTGAGTGAATAGCTACACTTTGCAACTAGAAAAAATTAAGAATAATTTGCGGAGGAGGTTATGTGTATATACTCCAAGTACTTGAACAAAATGAAACATTTTGACAATTTTTCTAGGGAACATACGTTACCTAGTATTAGCCATGACGCAAAGCCCCTGGAGTTACATATATTTATAAAAACATCCGTACGGCATGTCTAATTTACCATGACTAAACCATTAATATATATATTAATATATCGGAACGCGGTATAAAAATTAAAATTTGAATTTAAATTGAGACAGTCGTGGATTTTTGTTCCATACACATATTGTAAAAAATTCAACAACTTTGAATTATTCAATCTTATTTTTTTGACACATAGCATGTGAAATACACCTCTATATTGGGTTTGGGTGTTTATTTGCTGAAAAGCCTCACCACATGCGAATTCTCGTTTCAAAATCTCTTGTGACATCACGCAGTATTTTTTCAAACCCATCTCGGATGAAGTCCGTTATGTTTTTTTTTATTTTATAAAAGTGACAATTTCCTTAAAACGCTTTCAGATATGACTACGAAGACACCCCAGAGATGTTGTCAGTTTTGGAGGAATCAGTGAGAATGAATAAAGGAGGACCCATGGCATTTACCAACTTGGCGCGCTTGTTTTTTCCGGTAATATGGATTTATTTGCAATATCTAGCATAGGACTTTTACATAGTGCTTATTATTCATTTATATATTTTTCTCCTTTTCCTATTCGTCTCTGGTGTCATATTTTGCAATTAAATTTTGAGCAATACGAAATAAATTCATATATTTCGAAATCAGACCATTGTAGGCACACGTACTTACCTTTCTTGTAAAGTTTGTTTGACAAAGTGCGTGCCTTAAACCACAAGAATATATTTCGATTCTTACATAATTCAACAAAGTTTTATTTCATATGAAAATATACATTCTCCCTCGTGGACAAATTGTCAATTTTGTATTTGGTTCTTATAAAAGCCTGTTGCAAGATTTATGTTAAAAAATCACAAAAACGCTATTCGTCTTAAACAAAGTTTGATAACTTTCAATTCAGAAGAAGAAATTCGTCCTCGTGGATAAATTATATAGTTTGATAAGACAGGAAGTAGAACGGCACCGCCAGTCCTTTGATCCGGCTGACATCCGGGACTTCATTGACCTCTATATAAAGGTCACTCAAGAGAGATTAGATCCAGAAATTTACACAGGTATGTAACCGTTAAATGACAATTTCACGTACAGATCTGATCCCGACTTGATGTGATTTAGCAGACGACTGTTTTTAAAACGTACCGCCCGATCAAATGTCGATGATATTCAGATTGTAATCACCGCCCATTGATTGTAATCTTCGTCTACCTATTATTATTATTATTATTATTATTATTATTATTATTATTATATTTGTTTAAAGTTCATTATTGGCGTTATTAATTTCAGAATGGAACGTGTTCCGCATCATAATTGATCTATATTCGGCAGGAACGGACACAACAGCTAATACTTTGAGATGGTCCCTGGTTCATATCTGATCCCGACTTGATGTGATTTAGCAGACAACTGTTTTTAAAACGTACCGCCCGATCAAATATCGATGATTTTCTGATTGTTTTCACCGCCCATTGATTGTAATCTTCGTCTACTTATTATTAATATTATTATTATTATTATTATTAT